TAGAAGCTTTGTCGGCCCAGTCGGGGATTCAGAATTTGATCCCCGGTTTCTGCAAGTGACAGAGAGCCCCGAGCCCTTTACCCAGTTCATCGGACCTTTTGCCCCTCCAGTGTTCCTGAATCAATAGCAGTTTGGTTGATAAACAAATAAAAGTGCAGAAAGTACAGACTTCGAAGGAACTAGAAAATTGCGTGGGTCAGGCACGCTCTAGAGCTTTTCTAGGATTTGGAAACGAATCTAAGTGCATGGCTCACCCTGTATCAGGGATGGGAACAATGCCCAGCGCTTAACTTGTTTTTGGAAAAGTGCATAACCCTTCCCGCTGAAAGTAATATGAGAATTTGTGGAATCGTATTATATTACAATAGTAGTAGTAGCAGCAGGAAAGGTTTGTCTTGTTACCGGATCGGCATCAGTACACAATCCCCAGATTACCCCACCCAATCGCATGTGCCTGTTCAAATACTCATCCATTTTGTTGATGTTGTTGTTGATTGGCACCTAATTTCCCAATTGTACTGCGGTTTTGACCGCTGGATGAGGAGTATGATGAAAAAAGGAAGAAGATGAAGAATGAATGCAGATGTCGACTAATCGCATTTAGGGAGGCAGCTGTGATGGCCGGCAAATCTTCAAAAATGTTAACACCAGTAAAAATGCCAATAAAATCGACGTGGTAAACAACAAACAACAATATTTACCAGAATGGAGCGCTTACCAAAGTGGAATGGACGAATGAAGGTAGAAGTTTGCATTAAAGTACAGTGCACGTGTTCAGATCGGAAGATTACATGGGCCTACTCAGACAAAGTGAAACAATGGAGGAATTGATTGGTCCGTGGAAAAGTGATCACAATGTGGGAGATAGATACAAGATCGTGAGGAGATGGTGGGAAACTAAGAACGGGTAGCTCCATTGAAGTAGGAAAGGACCTTTATGAAACCTTCAAATGGATACCTGTAAAAGTCCAGTAAATTCGTAGGTGGGGAGAAGGGGGGGGGGAGTTCCGTTACAACAGCTGTCCAAATTTAATCTTCATGGAAGAAGTGCTTACGAATGGGACAAGAACAAAGTTGCTAAGGAATAAAGAAAATGAATTGACGAAAGGAATTAAGAAGTTGGGCTGTATTCGGGAGGAAACGGATCAGTTGAGAGGGCGATAAACAAATGCAGGAAGGAACTAGGGCAGAGGGCAGAACAGGGAAGAGATCAGAGGTCGCTACCTCGGGAAGAACATCACGCTCCAGTGATTCGGCCATGTGATTGAATTCAATAGTGATTCAAAAATTAAAAAGAGCTGGTTCAGGCCTGTGTATCTCCCGAACCACCGAATCCTGGGAAGCGAGTAAAGTTCCAGGCTTCACATGAGAACAGGCATTTAGAGCGGGAGAGAAGGCTCAGATATGAAAAGTAGGTGCTGAACTGTATTACCCCCTTTTACTCGAGCAGGCCATTCTTGCCATTTACAAGCGAGGGGCCAATGGCCGCGAGAGGGGCTTGCTTGGAGAGACGAGGAGGCAAGTAGGCCAAGGAAATTATTCACCAAAAACAGATTCTTCGAACTAAACTCAGAAGGGAATGAAGAAAAGTTAGAGTCCATTGGGAGGAAGGCAAGGCTCTGGGCAGTACAAGCCAAAAAACCGGTGAAAAACACGGAGGATAGCCGATGTAAACGAAAGTACGACTGGAATGCGGGTGTGACTAACAACTGTCAGTTTTGCGTATTTTACATGAGGCTGAAAAACATATCAAAATCGTTGTCACCCCGTGTGAATGACATGCGGGCTCCCTCCCATAGCGCGCGTGACTCGTGTCTTGCCCTTGAACGTCTCCCATCTCAATTTGCAGCCTAAACCCCTCTTCGGCTCGACAATGTCTCGTATAAACAGCTTAGCAACTACTGAACCAAGCAACAACGACGAATTGAACTGCTCAAACATGAAAAAGTGGCGTGGGGAGGAGTCAGTGGTCGGGCCGGATGATGTCTGAATCACAGACAATGAGAGGGGAGTCTATGAAAGCCTATGGTAGCAGTTCGTTAAAGAGTGTGAAATGGCCTCGCGCTTTGTGTTGAGTTGAAAGGGAACATTTCCTGTGAATGCCAATGTGGTTTTTCCCAAGAGTTAGTCATTCGAATGGTTTTCCCAACAATACAGCACCTTGAAAAACACAGAAAGGAGGGGAAATGACGTCGAGAAGCCGAAAATTCCAAAGTCGAGGACTAGAGGATGTCCGCGGCGCTCAGTACTATTTGTAGAGCAATTTCGTAACAGCACGGACTTCTAGGAGAACATTTAAGCTGACTCATCGGTCCCAAATCTAAGGCTTCCCCAAATTCCTACTAAATTGGTTTTTACCCCCTTTACCTGAACAAAAACATTTTAAGAGTTTCGGAGGGCTATGTCTTTTCAAGAAGCTTCTACCAAGATTACCAGTATGCACCAATGGTAAACTGGAGCTCCAAGCATGGAAATACCCGAGGTTCATCCTGGTGCTACATATAAATAGGTACATATTGTGCGCTCCTATGGCTGACCAAGCCTTCTATCCCTCCTGGATCGGCTAATTGGTGCCAGATTTGCCTGGAAGAAAAGAAACGCTGACTTGTACATAGGACTATCGTAATTCATTGTAAAGGCCACATACGCATGTGGAAGTTGGGAGGTGTACCATAACAGCTTTGATTGAAGCCGAAGATTTTGCCCTTGACTCTTTCATAGACTCGAAAAAAATTCGCTAGTGATTCACTGGAGCATGCCATTCTCCCGCATTATGGCTCACAGTCTCGAGGTTTGGAGACATTGTTTATCATGAGCGTTCCAAAAAGGCTCCCAGAGAGGAGTATTGGCATAAGTATCTAGTTCACCCAGAAGAAATGCTCTTTTCAAATGATTGTCAACAGAGTGGAAGAGACCCAGCATGACTGTGGAAGTGTCAGCAGTGGACGTTCCGCCCGTACTACCACCCGGGAAGCGCTCTTGCATAGGATGACTTCAGCCCTGGCAGGGCCCTGGTAGAATTTTCATGTTCTCAAGTGCCTACATGATAAAGGTGTGAAGTGCTGCCCAGCAACGTACGTTAATGGGAGAGACCCACGTTATTTGATTCTCAATAGAATCTATTCTGAGGCTCTAAACCAGTGTGCCATTCCTTCAGTGAAGAAGCTGTTCGTCAGGGCTTCCACAAATAATCTTCCCTGTATAGACCTAGATGGATGCCTCCCTCCATTACCAGGAAACAGAGTTGAGAGGAAGAAGAAAGCGAAAGCAGCTTATGGAGTAAAATTACCCTTCCCTATTTTTTTGGAAGTTCAGGCTACTTTTTGAGGCGCTAATAACCCTGCCACATGGGTATGGATGGCTGCACAAGTTTCGAAGGTCTAAGAAAGTGAAATCCATCCTCTTTGCGCTGTCTCTTTTTCATAGGCGCCAAGCAGGGCGTCCACTATCACGATCTCAAGGATGCCACAAAAAAAGGAGAAAAACGAGGAGTTTGACTAAGACAGCTATTTTCGAATGTGTTAAACAAATACAAATCAAACAGGCTTTGCAAACAATGTTTTATCATGGAATACGGTGGAGTTATGGACAAAAGCTCATACGTAATACATAAACGGAACAATGAGAGGCACATCAAAATTCTAGTTGAGAGGAAAGTTGTTTGGTTTCTGAGGTTCTGCAAAGAGCAGTATCCAAAATTCTCATAGAGAACCGTGGGTTCTCGAGTTGAAGCAATACTTTTCACTCCTGATTTGCTTTTAAAGGGCGGATAAGGTGTAGTAGCAAGTGGAGGACTATCAAAACTATCGCCTAATTGCCTGCGGACCGAATTTTAGGTCGACGTATGCCCATGCCAACCAAGCTTGCTTACCCTCCAGGGCCTGCTGGTTGGTAATAGACTCATATAGGAGGATAAAAGCACTAACCTCTACATCGACATAACATGATCATTGTATAGACCACATATGTATTCGAAGTATTACTACGATTCTGAGTGGGAGTTGAATCCGGGGGCGCGTCCTTTTCTCCGTTATAGGGGGAGGGAGGGACCTTCAGACAACATCTCATCTGTTTGGCTATGGAAGACAACTGACTGATTGTAAATCTGAGAGCTCACGAGTTTCTCACGCTTTGAGTGCACCACCTTCCACGAATGCGCTGTCACCGACCCTGCTCGACCAGCACACATTGTGTGAACAGCCCGATGTTAGCCGGAACGAGCTTATAGTGGAGTGACTCGGAGAAATATGGGTTCCTCGTTGAGGAAGATGACTCAGGAAGTGTCAACATTATTGTGAGTCAAGATAAAGAATGCTTTCAAAACTGGATTGGGGTTTCATCAGTCCTGTTTTGATATCTATCGAGTTTCACACAGTATAGAATTCTGTCTAGCGTTTGACAAGTGAAAAATGGATCAAAGGCAGAATACACAGAGAACTTAAATTTAGTATGATGCCTAGCTAATTTTTTGGAAATAATTCGAAAGCACTCTGACTTGTAAATCAAGGAGGCACTGACTTGTACATCGGCTGGTCACCACAGTCATTGTATAGGCCACATACGCATTCAATACGCCACAACTATTCTAAATGGAAGTCGAAAGGAGCATCCCTCAGACGGGAATTACATATTAAGGCGCGAAGACTTCATCCTTAACAGTATTCGGCGTGTCCTACAGCATCATTTATGGAATCAGTAGAAGTAAAACCTTGTAAGGAAGAAGATAGGATGAGATAGGATGGCGGAAGGAGGAAATGAAGAAGAGGATATTTATACCCGAAAGGATTTATGTCAGAATCGGTGCTCTGCGCTGCTACACATCAACGAGCTTGTGCAAACATTCCAGGAATAGACAGGGATGGCCGCTATATAACCATCAGCATAGTTTGTCACTTTCAAATCTGTTCCAATCACTGAACCTTTGCGCACTACTTGATTTTTTACCGTAAAGGGAATAGGTTCGGAAAACAACTCGATTCTCCAGATTTGTTGGGTCAAAAATGTTACCTACTATGGTACCTACTGTAACGTGTAACAAACCCTACTTCTACTTAATAAGCACCTTGGAGGGTAGTCAAAACGGAGATGAAGGAACTGTGAGAAAAAGGAAATGGAAAACGGCCAAAAACCATGTGAAGAAGACCTACACGGAGACGTTTCGTTCGTTTTTGAACGACAATCACCCAACGACGCGGATGACTCAACACGTCCGTCGCGACGCAATGACCCGACTGGATGGTGATGATCGTAGAGGTTTCATGACTGAGCGCCTTAGTTGTGTCAACAAGACAGCGATTCAAANAAAAAGGAAATGGAAAACGGCCAAAAACCATGTGAACAACACCTACACGGAGACGTCTCGGTCGTTTTTGAACGACAATCACCCAACGACGCTGATGACTCAACACGTCCGTCGCGACGCAATGACCCGACTGGATGGTGATGATCGTAGAGGTTTCATGACTGAGCGCCTTAGTTATGTCAACAAGACAGCGATTCAAAAAACGTAGATATGCTACGATCAGTTGAAAGCGACGTGACAACTCGTCAAAAGCTTTTATATCATTCTCTCAATGAGCTCCATTTAGAATGCTTTCATGGGCTCCAAAACTCTCTCCAGACTATAAACTGACTAGAAAGCCCTCTCAATTGAGAATGTTTAGAAAACCAACTTAGACCGAGCACCATCTCCGTGTATGGCGTTAAAACGCACAGAGAAGCCTTCCGTTGCATTAAAAGGGAGGCGAGCCATTAGGTCTATCTGGACAGGTGGGTTGGTCTAAAAGCTATCCCAAACCGATTAAAAACATTTGTTTTTCATATGTAGAGGGAGCATCCTTCTGGAGAATACCTGGAACTTGTTAGACGCTTTTCTTCTAGACCCGACGGAACAACAAGTGCAATCTGATTTGGCAAATGTGACACGAAAGAGAGAAAGCTTTTTCAAGCGGCACAGATCTCGATGGTCCAATAATTTCCCTACAGATTAAATTGGAAGATAGAACACTTCATTACTGTTTTTTTTACAAAATTTAAAAATCTATGATGATTTCCCTGTTAATGAAAGGGTGACCAGTTCCGATGTGTAGTTCATGTCTAGGGAAAAAGCTCTTTTTCAAATCAAGGTCCGATCATTTGAGAAGCGTCTATTACCATGTATAACTTGGAGAAAACAATGTTAATTGAAATTTGTCGTAATTTATGAGTAAACAATATAGAAAGGGGTGGTCGAGTGGAGGATGGCTCGAGCCTGGAGTGCACCAGCCGTACGACAATGTACAAATGTGTCCGCAAGTAAACATCGCAACAGCGCCCGGGTGTGATATTTGTGTTCCCGAGCGCCTCTTTTGTCTTGAGGAATCGCCTCGTGTCCCACTTCATCGTTTCTTGGCCCACCCACTCTATTGTTAATAACTGTTCTGTCCATGACTGTACTGTCAACTTTATCGCCTATTAACTGCCGCCATTAAAAGGTATGGAATGGCATTTCATCTCAACTTCCGGTGTAATCGACAATTTGGCAAGGCCATTCACCCGTTCTACATCTGCACCTTCTTTGGTGCTTTCCAACCAAAATTAGCCGAAAGTTCCTGGACATGGGTTCTGGACCCTATCTAATAAATCCACAGCCAATCTGGCTCAAACTTGACTCCTTGCAGTCGGATGCGGGCTAGGGAGAAGATCCTCCACGCCTTCTTCACCTTTGCTTTGCTTGTTTCAGCGTCATTCAAAGAGCACTTTTTGCATTTAATTGGCGCTACATACAAAGCGCCATCGAGTTTACACGGGGATCGCAGCCAAGATCGTCACGGAAAGGAAGTTTCAAATCTAAGAAATCAGCTAAAACCAGAATTTAAGGGGAAAGGCTGGTGCAAGTGGAAAGTGCTTGTAAGCTTTTAGAGGAACGTTTCATGTGGGACGCCCGTACACATCGGATGCCAATGGAGAAATGTGCTGCATAGTAGCGTAAGCTTTTCATAATCCAGTCAATATGAAGTTCCAGATTCCAGCGAAAGCGAATGGGAACCTCAAAATCGGTTTTTTAGGAGGTGAGGCATACAGTAATCGTACAGGGCCCTAATTATCGTTATTTCCTGTATCTCATACCGTATTGTGTACCATTGTAAGTATGAACGAACAGTTGCTTATGCTTTTTAGTTGTTGTGCGCATCAGAACTTCAGGTATATGGTAACATTTTGTCACTGTGGTTATGCGTGGTTAATAAATAGACATAATCAATAAGTAAGCAAATGACCAAATAAATAAATAAATGAAAAAGTGGATGAATGATTGAACAAACAAGTAAATAGTTCCTTTTTTGCAGTCAGAATAAGATATGAATGCAAGTGACGTGAAGTGTCAGAGAGGCATTCTTTATGGCTCACAAGCATGCGACTCACCCCATGGCTTAGCATTATTTCCCTCAGCCCACTAGTTCGCTAAAAAAGGGAACCGTCTGGGGATGGGGAAACTCCAGCCAGTAGCCATATAAACAAATACAAGGAGGGTTTCTGGTTTCACGTTCATTCCTGAAGTACAAACAATCATATGTGATGAGGTGAAGAAGACAACTATATGAGTTTTTTGGCAGCTTCTCTCTTCTTGCGACGATTTTCAGCTTCCTTCTTGATTACCTCTTTTTCAAGATACCACTGCTCCTAAAAAACGTAGTCCTGGCTGTAATGGAACAAGCAGTACGGTAAACTCATACCGTGACAAGTTCTTTGTTTTTCATTTGCCTATCCAGTTTTTCTCGTCGAATTACTGCATAGTATCTGAAGCTGGATTCGGTCAAGGATGTTGCCACCACCTAGCCTACCCATTATTCTTGATTCCTGCTTAGCTAGGCTAGGTCAGCTCAGGATAGCCTCACCAGAAACGGAACAGCTCACGAACTTAGACAGACCGCTAAGTGGGGCAACTAGCAAGGAATCTCAGGACGTTGTAACCGGATCGGGACCACTATCACAGTATCGCAATTAGCGCAGCATTAACATCCACAAATGAGATGACCCAAGTTCTTATATGTGGTCATATGCCGTGGAATAGCTGTTAGGATTCTTCAGCATACGTGAGAGGTGAATGAGTACCTACTATTGATGAGAGTGATAAGATGTAAATAACCGACCTGTAGGAGAGTACAGTAATGTTGAAGCAAATGGTAACAACCAAAGCAATCAGTACAGTGTGGAACCATTCACTTTTCGGTAGGTCACGTTCATCATCATGTAGCATTCGAACAGATTGAGCTGTTCTCTGGAAAACAGAAACAGGAGTTCCCTTCAATAAGGAAGAAGTAAAAGCCGAAGTAAGTAAAAGAGTTCAACAGAGATCTCTGCGTCTCTAAGATCTGATTCAATAGAGATCTTTGATCGTCTGCATTTATAAATCGGTTCTTGACAGCTGGAGCTGGTAGTCTACCACTTCCGACTATGTGAGTAGTAATAGAAAAGTGACCACTCGTATTCAGCTAGTGTTTGTTTACATGTATACTCGACAACGATCCGACGCAGGACCGGTTCATTTCTCAAATGTAGTTATAATACGGTATTCGAATGGGGCAGTGCATTTTGGAATCACTTTCTTCCTTCATGAAAGTTAGACCCGTAATGCTTTCTCGACCTTTCCCTAACTGAGGCTCAGAAGCACCTATCCTTGCAGCAATATCATTTGCATAAACGTTCCATCCATAAGTACAGTACAGTACTGATAGAAGCGTTGAAACACTGATAAACGAGTGAACACTTTCATACCCGTAGTGTAACAGTTTTGGCTTAAATCGAAGAAAATATCCACGTAAAGCCTTAATACTTGTCGGATACTAACAAATATGTAAAGGCATCTGCTCGAGACAAAATGGCTAGCTTCTCAGGCTCAGTGCTTCATCCGCTGGAGACTTCAGAAGGGAGCTAAGGTTCGCAGTGAAGTAGCCAGGTGCACATAGGTGGGAAGTTGAACTCACCGCGGCTGACATGTTTTTATGTCTTCAGAGAAAGTTCGGCTCAAATAGATCTGAACAAGGGAAACGACACATACCGTACTTCGTTTTCAACACAAGAATACGACATTTCAAAATCCACTCACCGACTGATCTCGATGGAGAGGTGAATAAGAATGAACTACTCTCCATGTTCAGAGATGTACTCAGTCAAAACACCCTAATTCAAGTATACCGCAATTTGCGGCTTGGTTGAGTAGGAATATCAAGATTGAGCCGGAAAAAAACGTCAAATTCATGAGCACAACCCCTCAGAACTGAAATGCCAGGCAGGCAAACCCAGATTCTTCCCACGGTGGAGACCTATCTTGCATCCATCTAAGCGCTTCTCCCATCATGTCCTCTCATCATCTTATGAGTTTATGCGCAGAGGCTGTGCACTTGAAATCGAGTACGTAGGCCATTACCACGAGAAAATTGCACAAATGGAACTCGGCTCATCGACAGCAATCTGCTGTCTTTCGTCTTCCCATCCTCTTGTCATCTTAGAAAGCTCAGATGTTCCATTTATCCCCAACTACTGAAATCCTTCGCATCTTCCGCTGTTTATTTTGGTATCGCTGTTCCTTGAAGTTAACTGCTTATGGAGGCACTAAGAGCTTAATAGCAGTAAAAGTATCTCTCAACTGAGCTGGCTGACCTCTTCGGGATTTCTCATCCACTTTTATGTTGTAGATAAATTCTAATTACACCAGTACTGTACCTAAAATATGGCTTGAAATCAGAATTATCACGCGGATGAAAATTGAGGGAAGTCTCGAGACTCTATAACTCCCACAGCAACTACCTTTTTAAACTTCGCACTTCATGAAGGCATCTAAAACGCATGCGAAGATCTGCTCCCTTATTATACATGCCACTGACAGCTCCAGGTGCAGCCTAACTAGAAACAACTATTCTTTTAGGTCGAGATCCATGGGATAGTAACCAAGCTTTCCTACAAAAATGCTGAACAGAGTAGTTGAAGTGAGAGTAGTCGATCCGCATACCATGCCCGCAGAGGTAGATAAATTTGTCCACCTACCAATCTTTCCTGAGAAATGTGGAAGATCTTCCGAAGCCGTGTCATACCAGACTCAGGGTCTAAATCCCAGACTCTCATTCCGGAATGATTGTGAGCGCTACTGAAGTCTTCCTAAGAATTCAGCCTTTGAGGTCGGCAAGTTCACGACAGAGTCGTCTTTGAGAGTGAACAAGCTGGTTTGGACAGTGGCTAGGTCTCCCACACCATTTATACTATATGAAGAATATTGTTAAAGTCTTCCGTTATAAATAAGCCCCATCCAGTTATCGAGTACGCCCACGCATTCGACCTTCATTGAGAACTGTTGTGGACCTGAATGCAGAATGCCTTTGTGACGATGCAAAACTGACTGGGGCCAACTGACATACATTTCAGTGCCTTCATCCTCCTAGATGAGCTTGGTATCAGTCAAGCGACCCATCGATCGAGTAGGGAAGGCTGAGCTGAGTCAGGGAGGGACTGTATGGGGCCTTGATTCGAGCTCTGAGCTCTATGTTCGTCATAGTGCGCCAATGGCCAAAACCTTAGGATAGGTTTATCCATATCGAGACGATAAGTCTTTCATTGATCGAAAATATATTCGCACACAAGGTTGACTAACAGAACAGGGTAAAGTGGCGGCTCCCCTATCCGGCTTGACTCGATTACCGAGATAGACAAGCCTTTAGGCCCTTTTCAAATGACACCTGTGGTCATTGCAGGCGCAGATAGACATTCAAATGAATTTGCAGCCCACAACGGAAATTGAATACGCCGCGTACTCCAAGAGACCATTTCAGAAAGATCAGTCTTTGCCCCCACCTTTAATTTCCATTTCAGTAGGGTGAAGTACGAAGTTGTGAACAATTCAATGAAAATATTTTAGAGTAGAGTAAAAAGTGATCATCAAAAGTGTTCCGTGCAGTGGAGCTGCTTTGATGAGTCTCTTAGTATTCTACTACATTTCTCTGAGTAATTCCCAAATTTTTTTTGTTGATTAAGTTTTTCGTTATTTACATAGATTCACTAACCGTTCGCAGAAAAATTAACCGGAAAATAAAACTGTTTTCAGGAGCAAAGGCGCTTTTTCAGGTTACAATGGAGAAGTATGTACCTGTACTCTGCGGTGAGTAATTTCGTTCTTTTCTTCATTATGTAGTCATTTGTTAGAGTGGCAATAATAACAAAAAGCGATCTTAGTTGGTGAAAACAGCCACTAAAATGGTCTTACATAGCCAGTCCTAGATGAATTTCTGGCAGAAACTAGAACTGGGAGAACTAGATGAACTGAGAGATCAGGATCCTTCCGGTATTTGACGATATCTTCGATACTGAAAATACAAAAGGGCTTTCTTTTTCAGCTCATTAACTATAACTATGAGCTACCCGGAATCTATTACATACAAACCTGTAAAAATGTTATCTCATATTAACAGCTTCGAGGTACTGAGCTCCGTCAACGAACGGAAGACAGGGTCGCAGTTGCTCATGCCAAAGAATAGAAGAACAGATCGGCCGGATACGTCAGGCGACCTCATCCTATATTTGGGATGGCCATCAGGCCTGGTTACTGACTGAAATCCTCGTGAAGTCAGACGATTACTAGGACGCCCGCCAGACTTACAGCACCCTCACGAAAGCCTCATACAAAAGTTAAATTGTTTCGTGTCCCTGGAGAGAAGGCCATCCCAAATATGGACTATACATTGACACGCGACAGGGACGAGTGGAGACGTTCTAGCGCTC